AAAGTCCCAACATGGAGACAAGTCCTTCAGATGTCAGCTCTCAGCCAGATCAACTGCCTTGTCCAGGTTCCTCATCTGGTTCAGCCTCTCCCAGTGGTGAGGTCGCAGCATCTTCTGTTTCACATCCATCCAGCCTGGGTGCTCTTGAAGGAGCAGGCAGTGCTGCAGAAGCTCTCCAGCYCTCCCTGGGTGCTGGCACTGGGGTCCTTCCTGCTGCAGGAGAAGGGACAAGTGAAGTGGCTGGTGATGGAGAGTTCACAGGGCAGTCCCAGGCTTCCACTGGAATGGGACCAGCTGGTTCAGGAACCCCTGGCAGAGAAACAGGAGATGTGTTGCAGTCTGAATCTTCTTCCTCATCTACAGTGGGSTCTTCATTACCTGGGAGCGTGGGCGAGGCTGCAGATGAAACGAACCTTCCTGGAGTTGCTGGAGCTGTCAGTGGCTTGAACACAGGCTTGGAGGCTGCTGGCCCCCAGGAAGCCTCTGGGTCCTCCTCTGGCACCCAAAGCRGTGCCAATCCTGAACTCTCTGACGGAAAACAGAGCGAAGTCGATGTGGTGGAGGTGCCTGGAGGAGCCTCAGTGAATGGGGGACCTGCCCCTGGTGCCAGCCTGGTCCCAGTGGCTCCAGACAGCAGCRGTGTTTCCGATGGTGTGACCACCTCCGTGTCTGAGTCTCTGCTCCTCCCTGGACGTGGGCTGGACTCAGGGCTGGCACCCAATGGGGACCCCAACTCCGCCACCGGCACCCAGAGTGGGAGCAGCCCCCTGCTGCCAGGGTCACCGGGTGGGCTGGCAGGAGAAGCTGGAGGTGCTCAGTCGTGGTCTCTTGAAGATGAAGCAGCCTCAGGGATGCCGGCACCTTTTGGAGAAGCRTCCCCTCACGCTCCTGTGTCCCCCAACGCTGCCCCGGCACTGCCTTCTGCTCCACAGGGAGGAATTGCTGCCAGCCCTGGGCTTCCAGCACGTAAGTCCATAGCRGGGTCCTCTGCAGGGGAAAGGGAAAGCTGAGGGTTGCCATGCCAGGGGGTCCTGCCTTGATCCTGCCTGCCCAGCCAGGAAGCCCTGGAGGCCCCTCTGGGGATGCTGACAGCCCTGTTCCTGGAGCAGTGAGCGCTGAGGCCCATGGAACGATGGCAGGGCAAGGTGATGTAACCCGTCCCCTTCCCAGTGCCGTTGGCTCCGGGGCACATATGGAGACTCACTCCCCACCTGGGGGGAGCCCAGGGCTCCCTGGCCTTCCTGCYGCTGAGATCACTGCTGGCAGTCCTGGAACAAAACCCCCAAAGCCAGGTCCTGCTGGTGGCTCATCACCCTCTGCCCTGCAGCCKTTCCTGGGCAGGGAGCTGACCACCAGCATGGCCAACAGAGCCCCTGCCACCTCCGAGTCGAGCCTTCCCGGAGCCTTCCCAGGCYGGGGGGGAAGCCAGGGCGGGTCCCCAGCCACTGCAGGCCCAGCCACATCCTTCAGTCCGGCCCTTGCCGGCCCAGCCCCACCAGCCCCGCTGCCCAGGGACAGGGAGGTGCTCCCCAGACCAGGAACAGCCTTTGCCACATCCCGTGCACCGTCCCCCGTGGTTCCAGCTCCACCAGGAGCGCCAGCAGCTACCCCAACCCCGCTGCCCGGTCCTGCAGGTACGTGATGCTCACAGGGCAGCTTGGGTGGGACTAACACATCCAGTTTCCTGATGGACAATGCTCAGGGTCATTCACCGTCCAGAAAACGAGGGAGCTGTTTGAAGCCAGGACCCTGGGGGATGCAGCATGAGGAGCCTCTGCACGTGAGCTTGCACTGTTGGCAGGCTGAGCCTGCCTTCAATACAGTCCCATCAGCTGGAAAACCCATCCCCTTCAAATGTTTTTTTTAACAGACATAAACAGGGAACTGGAGGCTGTAAAAGTCTCTAGAAAGAGCTGTGGGTGTTTAATTCTGTGCTGTTCCCTGCCACAGTCCTTGTACAATGTTCTTCCCCTCCTGATGGCACTCCTCCAGCACTGTGTCCCAACAGGGCTGGTTAAAGCAGGGGACAATGACCACAAAGGCCATGACAGCAGGTTTGGGGCAGCTGTGTTTGTGTAAGGCAGTGAAAGGGGTGGGAACAAGCTCTTGCAAGGGAAGGTGACATGCAGAGTGTCCCTGGAGGSTATTGGCAGCTTCCCCCCATCCTTCTGCTGCCCAGGCTTTGTCCCATAGGAAGCAAAATAGTTTCAGCTCTTTTAAATTTTTGACACAGACCAAAGGCTTTGCTGTAAATGTGGTTTGGTTTTATTGCTTGTTTGTTTGTTTTCTTTTCCAGTTCCAGCTGTGCCCCTCTATGGGTATGGAACAAAGGAAAATGATCAGGAGTACGTGGAAAGGAGAGTGGATTTTAATTCTCCAMTTTTCAAGCCCGAGACTGGATTCCCATTTGGGAAAACCCTGCGCACCTCTCTCTACGTGAGTTCACTTGGGCTTGACTCATTGGGCAAGCGGCCATCACCCAAAAACCTGGGAGAGGCACCAGGGACATTGTACCTGGGATGGGACTCTTGTGGGGCCAAAGCTATTGGGATGCTGCTGTGGTCTGTTTGCAGCAGGAGGTGACCTTGTGGCCATTTCAGTGGTGGCTTTCCTTGKGCATTGCTCAAAACACACTTGGAAATGGGAGGGCTGCCACCCCCATGCCAGGGARTGCCGCTGGTCCTGATTTCACCTGATGGAGGGATCCCTCTGCTCAGTTTACAGACAATGGACAGATCATTTTCCCAGCCTCGGACAACAGCATCCTCACGTACCCCAACCCTCCTGCCAACGGCTTCAACGGCCACGAGGAGGTTCCCATGATCGCCGTGTTTTGGGACAAYGCTGACTTCTCCAGAGGTGTTGGCACCACCTATTACCAGGTGAGTGAAGCCACCTGGGTGCATGGTTSCATTAAACACTTTTCAATTACAAACCCACCACCTCTTCTGAGGATACCTTTTGAGATGTATAATTAATGGAGTCCATGAGTTTTTCCCTTTTTTGAGCCAACTCTAAGAGCTGTCGGTGCTGTGTCACCTGTTGAGCCACCCAAATCCCATCCAGCAGCTTGGTCACAGGGGTCTGTGCACAACCCCAGTCCAGGCCTGTTTTTACCCTGCTGGAAGCTAACACACACCTGTGTATTCCCAACCCACAGGARTTCTCCACACTCAACAGAGCCAAGCCTCTGTTTGTCCGTGACGTGGAAGAGAAGGTCCGGCGGTACCTGAGRTCCTCCTACTCTGCAGCCTGGACCYTGAAGATCACCTGGGAGAAGGCACCTGTCCACACAGCATGGACTGACACCCGAAAGGTAAGGGACTGATGGAGAATTCTCAAAAAAAAAAACAAGACCAGGGGTGCTGACCTTCTCTGTGCCTGAAAATAAGTACCAGTTCTGTGACAGARGCCAGTCTTGAAGAATTTTTGGCTAAAAGAACTGGGCTGTGCCTGTGTTTTAGTGGTTTTCAGGTTTTTTGACGGACACCRTTAGCTGAGTTTTCCCTGTTCCATAAAACTTTTCTCTTTAATGTGGTGGGAGTTTATTGCACACCAGAAACACTTTTTTTTTGGAGGTATAAAATTGGATGAATTTGAAGCTTGCCATGGAACAGCTTCAAAGCAAAACCATCACATTTTCCATGCGAAATGTGAACCAGCCCTGGCTGTGTTTGCCTTGCTTCCCTCCAGACCTCAGTTCGGCCGTTCCCCAGCAAGCACTGGCCCACACCCCGAATTTTAAACCCCACATCTTCACTCACTTTCTTATCTGTCTGCAATGCTTTTCCCCAGACAATCACGTACCAGGCTGTCCTGACCACTGATGGCTTCAGGTCCTACATCCTGATGCTGTACCAGGACGGAGGCATGCAGTGGGATTACACCAGGCTCACTTCCACCAATGTGCTCATCGGTTACACCAGGTACAGCAGCTCAACACCCCATCCCTGCCTCCTCTGAGCACTGGGATGCATCCCACCCACGGCTCTGACTGATTCAGTCCTTCCCCCATGTCCCAAGGAGTGTCCCACAAGGATGAGGACAGCCCAGACGGGGTCTACATGCTCATATATCCTAGCGTACAGGGGCCTCACAAGCAAATTTGCCCCATTAGTGACTGGATCATGCTGCAGCATGCTGCCTTGCTGGGCTGTGCTTGTTGTAAAATCCACAAATCTCTCCGGAGTCCTGGGCCCCCAGCATCCTGGCAGTTTGGGTGGAAGGAGTGGGAAATAGGGGATGTTTGCTGAACTTTGCACCAGCCGAGGGAAGGGATTTCCGTGCTTGGCCGGAGCAGTTGTTTCCTGCCTCCTCACATTACATCTTGCCCTGTACATGCTGTCTCCAGGGTTTTCTCATTAGCTGCTTGCTGCAGCTGGGTAAGGAAAAGGTGGCTGGGATGGGAAGTGTGGGCAGCACAAGCGTGTGTGTGCGTGTGTTTTCTACTTCAAGTCGCCTGGCAAAATGCTGGAAACAATGGAAGCTGCTCATGGGGGTCTTCAGATGTCTGTGGGCTCAGCCCCAGATGCAGCAGGGCTGTTTGCAGCACCCTAAAAATCTGCACCATATATAGCAGAGGAAGCAGGCTGGGGGAGCTCCTGCCTTTGCCCTCCTGTCCCTGGAGCTGCGATGTGGGTGCTGCAATCCCACTGACACGGRATCAGGATGGCTGAAGGGCAAGCTGGAGCTAGGGCTGGGATAATCACACCCAGGAAGGGCAACCCCTGATTTTTCCTCTTTCTTCTTCACTCAGTGGGGACGGCTTTTACCGCAACGATGACCTGACTAAGAGGCCTCCAGCTGCTAAATATCGTCCTGACCAGTTCAGGGGCTACAACACAGGTAGTGCCACACAGCTGGGGTGGGTTCACAAGGAGGGGGATATTCCACAAGGAGGGAATGAAATCCAGCCTGCTGCTGTGGTGAGGCTCTCACTGGGTTCACCATGGCCAGCCTTTTCCCCCCAAGCACATAAAATGTGTTTCCCCTGGGTACCAGCTGTGCCCTGAGGGTGAAACATCCCTGCTGTCCCCATGGATGCTTTTTTCCCAGTAGCTCTGTCCCAGGGCTTTCTTCTTTGGCAAAAGTTTCTCCCCATTTCCCTGCTGTTGAGTGGATGTTGAAGGGGTCCCATGGCTGAGAGCCAGCTTGGGTTTAGCTTTCAGCATCACCATCATGTGACTCTGACCTCAAGGCAAAAGAGCCCCTGTGGTCCCCTTGGCCAGAGATGACAGCTCATGGTTTCTCTCCCTGCTCAGACCTCCGTGGGCTGTGGATTTACAAGCTGGAGAGCCGCGTGGGCAACAACTACCGGCTGAAGTGCCTGGCATGGACGGGGCAGCAGCAGGAGCCCAGGGCATGGAGCCAGGGCCTGCCCACCTGCCCCTGCTCCCTGCAGCAAGGGAAGCAGGACCCACGCTTCAAGAGCAGCCGTGGAGGCAAGTGGACATGCTGCTTCTTCATCCTCCTCTTCCCTGACATGTCCCTCCTCATCTTCCCTGCAATGGTGGTTGGGGTCCCTAAGAAAGGGTGGGCAGGTGACCCTAGGAAAAAGGAGAGAGGGACTGGCCTACCCTTCAGAGGCAGGAAAAGCAAGGAGGATTGATGGTTGATCTGTCCCTGTCTTATCAGACTGGCCAGAGTTGATTTGACGTGCATGGGGATGCTGGGGATGAGGTCTTACCATGGGAGACCACTTGGATGGTCTCCCTCAGTTCCTCCAGATCCTTATAGCACCGTGGGTGATGTGGTGGGAGTGGTGGGTAACAAGGAGCCAGCTCTGGCCTAACCCTTGCCCTGAGGCAGCTGTGTCCAAATCCTTGCCCCGAGGCAGTTTTGGCTGAAGCCTTGCCCTGAGGCGGCTCTGGCCTAACCCTTGCCCTGATCTGGCTGTGGCCCAACCCTTGCCCTGAGGTGGCTCTGGCCTATTTGCTCCGAGGCAGCTCCCGCCTAACCCTTGTCTCAGGGCAGCTCTGGCCTACCCCTTGTCCTGAGGCAGCTCTGGCCAAATCCTTGCCCCTGAGGCAGCTCCGAAGCCTTGCCCTGAGGCAGCTCTGGCCGAAGCCTTGCCCTGAGGCAGCTCTGGCTGAAGCCTTGCCTTGAGGCATCTCCAGCCTAACCCTTGCCCTGAGGCAGCTCCGAAGCCTTGTCCTGAGGCGGCTCTGGCCTAACCCTTGTCTCAGGGCAGCTCTGGCCGAAGCCTTGCCCTGAGGCAGGAGTGCTGGCCGGCAGAGCTGCCCAGGGCTCACTGCTGTCCTGTTGCAGGCCGGTGGGGTGCCCGTATCTCCATGCTGCACTCGGCCTCTCCCAACCAGCACGGCGCYGGTGTCCGCTGCCTGTACGACAGCCAGGACCAGCTCATCGAGGGGCGGCAGGAGAGGTACTGGAGGTCCTCCAGGCAGGCGTCACCCTACCGTGGTAAGCACTGCCAGCCTTGGCATCCCCTGGCTGAGGCTGGCATTGTTGTAGCCTGTAAATAATTTTAATCTCTGTGSCAGCCTGTTTCCTGACACGCTGTTTTCCTCGGAGGGAGCRTGGGGCTGCCAAAAGCTGAGGCAARCCTTGCCAGRACCAGCCCATCTCCTTCCTCGTCCTTTCAGCCCCTTACTGTCGTTTTTCCCTCCAGACCAGGAGCTGAAGCTGTACGACTGGTGCTGTAACCGGGCGGGCAGTGCCCACCTCTGCGCCCGCTACAGCGAGAAGAGGCCCAAGATTGGCTGTGATGGATACCAGTCACCCAGCACCGGTGGGTTTGCAGGTTGGGGTGATGCTGTCCTGCTGTCCCGGGCTGGGAGGGAACTGGGAATGTCCCAGCCTCCCTCTGGTTAAGGCAGGCAAGAGCCCTGGTCAGGGTTTTGGGGTGCTCATGTGCAGGTTGTGCCATGCCCTGGGCTCTCTGGGGTTGTGGGAGCATCTCCTTCAACATATAACCACCAGCATAGTGTGGAGGTGATGGCACTGGGAGGGGGGAAGGATCACAGAAAATGTGGTTGTGGTGTAAGCTGATGTGGGGCTTTCTTGCAACCCTCAACAGATTCCTCGGAGGAGGCAGGGAATGACTCRGATGAGCAGATAGGTGAGCAGGAYTGGGGGGRTCTCYTTTCCCTCTGTCCCTGTCCCCRTGCAYGAAAATGCCCCGYGGCCTCCATCTCRCCCCACAGGGAGAAGGTGGCTGAGCAAATATMATTTCTTTGTTCTTGCAGATGGAGAGGACAAGTAACTGGGAGTTCTCACACCCACAGCACGTTCTGGGCCATGGCTGATCCTCCAAATCCTTTGATCTGCTCTTCCCTCATGTCCCCCTCCCCAGAACCCATCACCCCTGCCCACCACACAGGACAGCTCACTTGGCCCAAGCCTGCAGCTGCCTGCCCTGGCACAAGCCCACATTTCTAACCCAGGCTTGTCCCAAGGATTCAGTTGCTTTAGCCACTCTTTTCCAGCTGCAGCTGAGGGCAAGAACTGGTGGGGAGGTGGGCAGGTACCCCGCTACGGCACACATCACCCTTGTCCTTCCTGCATCCCATTGTGCTCCTGTGCTGCARCGTGAGGCTGGACCCCTGGCACCCAAGGAAAGGGTTTGCACACCTCTCATGGGTTGAGTGTGGACAAGCCCTTAAATKCCAGGGTGAACCAGGCTTGTCCTGTGAGCCACTCCTGTCTTGTCCCCCACTTCTGTTTCCCAGCCGTCCCTCCTTGAATGGTCCCTGAGCTCCCTGTGCTCCGGAGAAGGGACAATTCTCCAGATCAAGCCAGAATCAGATTTATAAYGTCTGCTGGGTGTGTGAGGGCAAAATGCAACCCTATGATCAGAAATGTTGGGAGAAAAATAATTTTTTGTGTGTAAGAGAGCATATTCCTTTCTTAAAAAAAATAAATCATTGTCAAATCTTGTTTGTTCAATAAGACCCCGGAATGGTTTGAGCATCACTGATCCTGCAGCARCCATGTCTTCTGCCAAACTGGGATGGAAAGCAGTGGTGGGACAGGCTTAGAGCAGCAGGATTACAGGATTGTTCTGTTCTGGATTTAGTGCTGGAGATGCAGCTAAGCTGGGGTGTAGGGCAGTRAATGGGGTGGGAGTTGGGGGTCTTATGGGATCTGATACACCATACTGAGATCAGCATCTCCCAATCACCAGTCACTAGGGTTGAAGGGCTGTGGGATGTTTGTCGGGACCACAGCTGATCTGCATGATCTGAGCCACTGTAAGCAGTGTCCATGAGAGCAGAGGGAGACTTGCAGGTTTGTAGGGAAAAGGAAGGGATAAAACAACCAAAAAAATCGACATCCATTTTCACTTTGGTTCTGTGGGTGGGAGCAGCAGAAAGCAGGGATCTGAGGGCTCAATGACGAAGTAGGGCTGGTGCAAAAACCCACGGGGTGCAGACAATTTAACAGCAAGCCATCATTTCTGGTTTATTCTGTTTAGTTCCTGAAGGGTTACAATCAGTGCATTGCCCCCACCTGAGCCTGCTCTCAGGGGCTCTGCAGAGTCTGGTTATGTCCCCCTAGTGCATATCCTGGTGCAGACACACTCAAGGATGATCCCATTGTCTCTGCAGGTGCACAGGGGAAGGTGAATCCTCCTGCTTTGGTCACACAACACAAACCTGCGTTTTTAACTCCAAAACGCACCTCATCCAGAGTGAATGCTCCCAGGATCCAAAAGGCAGGTGCCTGTCCCCTGCTTCCATGTGTGGCTGGGGACCTTGAGAGCAAGTGGCAGAGCAGGCAGCAGCATCTGGCTCCTCTGTGAGCCTGGAGGTGCCAGAACAGGACCAGTGGCAKGTTAGGGCTGCTGGGAGGGCTGGCAGGGAGGCATAATGTGGGGTCTCTGTATTCTTATCTGCAAAGGAGGGACAGGCCGTGCTGTGCTGTCGGTGTTGCATTGGCTCTGTGCTTTGTGACAAGCTCAGATGGTRCCACAGATCCCAGTGCTGGCCAAAGCATCCAAGATGCTTCAGGGTGAGGCACAGATCCCAGGCATCTTTGAGGCACGGGGCCAGGACTCGGTCCCCAGCCCAAAGTTCCCCRCCCCAAAACCCCCTGGAGAGAGAAACCCCTGGGCAAACCTGCACTGAGGGGTCAATGGCCTGGAGCTGCAGCTTCCAATGCCTTTCCAGGGAGTGGGAGAGGGTGGGCTCTGCTTGYTCTTCTGCCATCGTTAAAGCTGGAGCAGGAAAAGACAGAGTTTGAAGATCAGGGTGAAACAGAGCCTTGGTGGAGGGAGTTTTACAGGCATGTACTCACAGGAGAAGGGCCGTGTCCTCCASAAGGTCTCCTTGGCCCTGAGAGTGGGGAACGGAAAAGGAACAGAAAATGAACAATGTGTCAGGATTAAGCTTGCCCTGAGTGTAGATGCCAGCCCAGGACCAAGGGCTGGGGAGGGGGGAAGGAGAGGATGGTGCTTTCCCCTCAGCGTTGCGCTTTGCCATTCTTCTGTTAACTCCTTACTCTGCAAGTTCTTCCTTGCAGAAGAGCAAGGTCCAATCCTGAAACTGCTTTTTTCTTACTCCAGACCAGCTCTTTCAAGACCCATGTGAATTGCAGTGGAAARCATTGAGGTGGTATTCAAATTAAAATTAAATAAAAAGCCTGCCTGTAACCAAGTACTGGTTGGGATGAGGAAGAAATGCAAACTTTCCCTGACACTGGGGGAAAAGGAAAGCTAATGTTCAACCCACTGATGCTATCACACCCCTGAGCAGCAGATGTCTGGGAAAGGGGCTGGAAGATGTTAAAAGATCACCAGACCCTTTCTCCAGGGCAGATGAGCGGTCAGAGATTCCCCCCTACCCAGATGATGGATCTTTCAAATGYGGATTCTCAAACAGTTTTTCTTTCTGCCCCCCATCCTGCCACACGCCCGCCCCATGCTGGTCCAGCCCACGGCTCACCCCTGGTGCTGGTGGCGGTGCTGTCGGCAGAGGTGCAGGGCCAGGCAGGCCATGGCAAACAGGAGGCAGAGCAGAGCCAGGGCTCCCAGCAGGATGCCAAGGAAGGCAGCCAGGCTGATGGCCAGCCACTCACACTGGGCACCGGCCGGGGAGTAGATGGAGAAGGGCAGGCAGCTGTGGATGGGAGGGAGGAGTGGTGATGCCATGGGGAGAAGAGGCTGTGCATGGCGGCCTCATCCACCCCAGAGCTGCTGCTACCTGCACATAGGCCCCTCGGGCAGGTGCTGGCACTGGCCACCATGCTGGCAGTAGCCCATCTTGCAAGGGGAGATGCAGACAAAGCCCATGGTCCCCATGTAGTGGAGCTGGTAGCCTTTGTAGCCATACAGAGAGCAGGGGAAATAGTCCCTCAGCTCATCCACTGTCACTGCGGAGGGAAGGAACACGGTTTCAGCCTTGCAGCAACACCCCTTGATGCCTTGRGCCTGCCCACCTGCCTSCCCCACGAGWCACACAGGGTGATGGGGACARTGGGGACAGTGGGGTGCTCCTCCCATGCTCCCCAGCCCAGCGCCAGGAGCAACTCACGCTTCACCAGGTCGGTGATGTTGTCTTGATGCAGGCGCTGGAACAGCAGCCCCGTGCCCACCTCCCGTCGCCCCCGCCGCCYGTTGAAGGCGCCGGTGATGGCAGGAGGCAGCTCCTCGTTCAGGAAGTGGATGACGATGCCGTGGCTGTTGTAGGCAAACTCAGACACCACCACGAAGATGAAACCATCGCTGTCCGTTCTGCAGGGAAAAGAGAGGGCTGCTGGTGGAGCTGCTGCTGCCTCACAGACTGACTGAGCCTCACTGTGCCTCTGTTCCCATTTGGGGGGTGGTGAGGAAGGGATGAAACAGGATGTGGAAGGTTCCAACTGCCTGGTGTCTCCAAGGGTTTACCAGCAACAGGGCTGGAAAAACAGATTTGGAGCTCCCTTTGTGCACCAAACTCTCTGGCCCCATGCTCAGCCCTGCCCCACCGGATCCTTGGAGTGGTCACGGGCTGCTTCACATCTGACTCACGTCTGGGTGATGTTGGTGTTGCTCTGGAAAGCCTTTACCTCCAGGGAGTCCAGGATGGCTGAGACCTGCAGCAGGGGGAGCAGGATGGCATTAGGAGAGGGCACAATGACACCAGTGTGGGGAAATGTTGAAAAATGATGTGGGCACTGTRACCAAGCTCCAAGGGCTGCTCTGGMCTTTGGTTCATTTGCTGGGGACTTGGCACATGGCCACAGCTGCAGCCATCATCCTGCAGTTGGTGCTTCCTCCCTCTGGGCTTGTGATCCTGCCAGACCCTCAGAGATCCCCTGGGAGGGCATACAGAGGCATGGGCAGCCCAAGCTGCTATGCTGCCCAGAGTGCCAGTGTGTCCCCTGCTCTGAGCCCACCCCCTCCAGTGTCATACGGTGCTGTTGACTTCTTCAGCAGTGGCGTTTTGCAGGGTCTTGATTCTCATTTGGATGCTTCTCCGAGGCAGATCTGCTTGGGGAAATCCACAGTGGTGGCTCTGGTATCCCAGGACCAGGGTGAGTGGGGTTGGATTTCACCCCRCACCAGGCACAGGCACCCACCTGTGCTGGCCAGTGGCCAAAAATCGCCCCCTGCCACCAGGCAGCGCTGGTCAGTGAAARCTGGGGGGCAGGTGCAGGTTGGGGTGCAGGTGATGGGGTGAAGGTGGCAGCGTCCCCCGTTGCTGCAGTAACCCTCGGGGCAGGAGTGGGAGCYGCAGGCTGAGCCACAGCCTGGCCTCTCACCTGTGGGATGGAGAGCACGGTAGAGGCATGAACCTGGCTGCAGGGCAGAGSCCCAGAGCACTGAGCCACACTCAGCCACTCTGTATGGCCTTTCTTCCAAGTTTTGGTTTGTTTTKCTTTTATATGTTAGGARTTTTAGTATAAATTCAAGGAAAAGCCCCATTCCCCCTCCTCCCAGCTGAATCCATTTGCCCTTCTTAAATCCCAGCCTGATGCASAAGAACAAGAGCAAAAGCCATCAACCCAAACCAAGCACAGCCTGATGAAAACAGGGCTGGATTTTAGCTCCCAACCTCCTCCGCATGTGCATTTGAACTTTGCTGGGATGAGAATTTTTTTCTCAAGGAGAAAAATTGCATGGGAAAAATTTCTCTTCCCAGTGGATTAGTGAGATCTACAGCCTGGGAATGCAAGTGGTGGCTGGACTCTGCTCCCTTCWGTTAATGACAGCAAGGGCTTGGGCACAGAGCTCAGCCAGCTCCCCCTTCTCTCCAGCCTGGGTCCCTCAGGAACTGTCTTCCACAGAGCCTGGGAGTGATGAGGACAAGGACCATGTCTGCCAGGGACCGTGCACTCACCGTGCTCACTGGGCAGGCAGGAGCAGGTGTAGCTGCCCACGGTGTTGGTGCAGGTGCTGTTCCCCAGGCACTCTGTCCCCTGYGCACACTCATCGATGTCTGCCAAGACAAAGCACCATGGCACCAGGACCAACACCGGGGCTGGGGTCCCAGTGGCCACGGTGTGAGCCCTTGTCACCTGAGCAGTGCTGTCCATCTCCTGTCAGCCCAGCYGGGCAGGGGCCACAGCCACTGAAAGGGTCACATCCCACACCAGGGAAGCACCCCTGGGAGCAGGGGTCAGGAGGGTCCTGGCACAGGGGCCCTGAGTAGCCGCTCTCACACCTGCAGGCTGCCAGCTGGGAAGGGGATGGTGACACTGACTTAGGGAACATGAGCAGGGTGGGTGGACAGAGATGACTTAGGGAACATGAGCAGGGTGGGTGGACAGAGAAGACAGCCAGCACAGCTGGCTTGGGGACAGGCATGGCGTGTCACCAGAGGAACTTTCTGACATTCTACCTGCAGGGAAGACTCCCTGAGAGTGACAGCGTTGCTGTAGTCACACTCCTGGCTCCTGCTGCATCTGCAAAGGGTGAAGCGGAGCTGGAGGAGTGCAGAGATGTTGTTGGACCCAACGGCCTCCAGGTTGATGGTGAATGGGGCTACCCCATGGGGTTCCCATATCAGGGTGCCATTCTCTAGGAAGAGAGGTGGGAGTTAGAGGTGACAGAAGAATCCCATCCCATCCCATCCCATCCCATCCCATCCCATCCCATCCCATCCCATCCCATCCCATCCCATCCCATCCCATCCCATCCCATCCCATCCCATCCCATCCCATCCCATCCCAGCTGCTCCAGCTCTCCTTCCTTACCCGAAATGTTGAGCTCTGGTGAGAGATGGGGGACGAAGCGTGCACCCACCCCCACAGCTTGGTACTGCTTTCTGACTTTCTCTGTCCTGAAGGCTGTGATCGATGTGTCACCAGTGATGACAGGAGGGAAAGCATCTGAGGAAAGAGCAGCCCAGCACACAGTTACTAATTTGCTATGCACCCTTGTCACCCCTTGGCTCTGAGTTCCTCCTGGTGAGGATAGGACCCCAGGAAGATACTGTCATGGCTGTCACCAACAAGGCCCTCATATTGTGCAGCATGGTGGCATCTCCCAGCACTGGAGACGAACCAGCCAGGAAATGCAACTCCAAGATCTTGGTGACTTCTCTCCTGTCTCACATGGAGCAACAGAGCCCAGGGAGGGAGCAGGGTGCTGTCCAGTTCCACCCAAGCCATGCCCTCTCGGAGGTGAGGATCTGTGGCACTTACTGAGTGCTGTCTTCCTCTGCTGGAAGTCGTCTGCGAGGCTCTGGGTGGCCAGGCCCAGGGCCAAGCTCCCTGTGCTCAGCAAATCGTAGATGCACTCCTTGCTGCCGTGACACTGCGAGGCTGCCAGCTGGTACTGGCTTTCATTCTCCTGCCGCAGCCGAGACAAGAAGATGGGTGTGAAGTTCAGTGCTGCAGAGTCCAGAGGCTGAGCGAACAGGCTCTGGTTCCCAACAGCCCCTGCAAGAGAGCACACCATGATTACAACCCGTTTTAATGTTTGCTGTGTTTTAGGGTTCCTCCAGAGCAGAGAGGAGGCCAAACACCTTCCCTTGGCATTGCTTTTGCTCAGGCAAGTGTTTAAATGTCTCAAGCCAAAGCGTGGCCACAAGGTGCAGGAAGGAAGGGATCATCAGTGGGGATCCAATGGACTTACAGGTCATCCCATAGCTGTAGATCTCCTCCTCACTGCTGTTCACAGGGATGCTGGTACCATTTGGCATCTGGAAGTCRTCTGCAGGGTCATGGTCCCACACACCTGGCAGAACATCACCAGAGGACTGGAATCCCCCATGCCAGGGTTGACCTCCTCTCTGGTGCTAACCAGTGTTTAGTTTATACCCAGGTGTCCCTGCCCTCACAAGCACAATTCCCCAGTTTTCCAGTCTAGGGTGGGAAGAGAATTTGCACCCTGGCTCTGTGGCGGTGCCAGAAGCCCTCACCCAGGAGGCCCCTGGTGCTGTTGCGGTACCAGTCGGGCAGGCTGCAGACCACGCTGAGGATCCTGGAGGTGGCTGAGACGGAGACGGCGATGGTGCCATCRAAGACGGCGGTGACAGAGGAGGCGTTGGTTAGCAGGACACCAGGGCTGTAGTAGACCTCGTCACCCAGCTCTGCAAGAGAAGGAGAGCACCGAGGGCGAGGTCATGCAAGGCTGGGATCTGAAATGACCATCATGGATTCATGGAGGGGAATGCTCCCCAYCCACCCTGCCTGGATCAGAGACAGGTGCAGGGGAGAGACATTTCATGGATCACAGGTTGGCTGCCCTCGCACTGGGCAGGGCAGGTCCCAGGGGATGGGGACACCTCTGGTCCCTCACACAAACATTTAACATTTAACAGCAGGTCCTGCTCACCTTCAGAATAGGAAAACTGAATGGTTTCATTGTTCAGAAGCACTTGGATGTCATCCTGGCTCCCCAAGGTCCACTCAACCTGAAAATCATGCTCAGTCAGCCCCTCTGCTCACTCCTTCCTTCTGTCCTTCCGTGCTGGGAGCAGTTAAATCCCATCCTCCTCCAGCCCAGGAAGAGAGGCTCAGCCCTGGGGCCTGTGTTGGTGTGTTCTTCACCCCAGCAGAGCACATGATAGAGCAGCTGTGATGGTTGCACAGAAGAGGACAGCCAGCTGCCCGTCAGCACTGGCAAGGAGCACACTGAGGCCACCACCACTGCTCAGCTGACCTTGACAGCATGGAGAGCTGTGCTGGTGGGCTCCTGGCTCTGAGCCCCCTCCTCAAGCTATTCAATGGCTGCTCCTCCTGACACCAGGACATTCTGCTTAATGAAGCTAAATGGGTGTGGGGAGCAGTTCTGCAAAATCAGGAAGAGCATTGGCTTGTGCTAGCRTCAGGACAGTGTGTGTGCAATGAAGAAGGTGAAGAAAACTGTGTTTCTCCAGTCTCCAGCCCTTGCTGCTGTTTGCAGGAGGTGTTAGGCTAATGCCTGATGAGCATTAGTCAGTTCCACCACTGTTAGTACTTTGTTGGAGTGGTGGGAGGTGGCAGGAAAAGGAGAGGGGATGCTCCTTGGGTCCCACCCACTTGTAGGTGATGCAGGGGTGATGCCCAACTTGCCAAGGGGTCTCTCCCAYTGGAGGCCCAAACTCATACCCAGGGCACTCCTACTCACTGTTGTGGTGGTGTTGGAGATGTACTGGGCAGCAAAGGCCACAAAGTTGGTGGCCTGGGCCGTGCCAGTCCGTGCTGTGCGCCCGTGCAAAACAAAGCTGGTGTGGGCATTACTGGCCAGCAGCAGGACAAAGTCCCCAAGCCCATTGAAGGTGTAGGTGAGGCCATCCAGGGTGGTGATGTGGGGGTCCCCGAAGGCGCCAGCTGGGGTCCAAAGGAGATRGAGCCATTTTGGGAGAGGAAGAAGAGCAAATGCTGGTGTCATTTCAGGGAGRAGAGCAGCCCCAGAGCTGTGTGGGCTCAGCAGCCCTCGCTGGGACATTGCAAAGTGTGGATAATGYATGGGGCCCATGCACAGCTCAGTGTCCTGGCACAGCGGAGGCAGAGCCTGGGGACTCACCGGGGGTGGGTGGCACGTATCCCTCACAGCCAACCCTCGGTCTCTTCTCAGCAAACCTGGCACAGAACAGGGGCTTCCCCACGCGCCGGCAGCACCAGTCAAACGCCTCCAGTTCCCTGTCTGTGGAGAAAGGCAGCCAGGTGCTGTGGTGTGTCGGGGCCATTGCTGTGCCTGTGCTCGATGCTTTGGGTATTTTAGGGTGAGGGGATGGCGGTTCCCACTCACCAGTGGCAGCATGGAAGGGGAGGCTCCATGCTCTCTCCTGCCAGCCTTCGAGCAAGCTCCCGCCTTGGTACAGACAGCGCACCCCAGCTCCGGCCGGGCTGGGGGACACTGTGCGCAGCATCCTCACGGAGCTGTCTGCTGAGCCTGAAATGGTGGAGGGGATCACAGCCATCCCYAAAGCAGGGAGGGACCCCTGCCATCCCCCCACCCCACGGCTGGTCCTGGGGGGCTGTGCTTGGCACCTCTGCTCCAGTGGTAGCGGGGATCCAGCTCTGCCTGGGGCCGGGAGCAGGGGCACGGTGGCAGCTGGCTGTTCCAGGTGGCCGGGGCTGGCTCTGTGTCCAGCCACGCCAGGCACCGCAGCCTGTAGTTCACCCGGGGGCGACTGTCCAGCCTGTAAATCCACAGCCCGCGCACATCTGGGGGAGCAACCAGAGAACCGCTCAGCCAGGGTCATGCCTTGTGCTGGGATCCCGCGGGACAGCCGTCCCTGGCCGCTGACCTCACACGAGGTCTCCAGGCTCCCTCTAGAGCCAGCGTGGCTGTGGCAAGCCACAGCAGGACATGGGACACCCACAGCCTGCACTTGGTGGCCAGCCCTTGCCCAGTGGCTTAGGTGGCCCATCACCTCACAGGGATGGGTGCTGGGGACAGCTCCTGGCACAGAGATCACAGCTCCTTCCATCCCCACCCACCCCAAGGACCCCCAGGGCCATACCATAGCCAGAGCTGCTGTGCTGGTCTGGTCGGTACTTGGCAGCTGGTGGCTTCTGAGTCAGCTCGTTGTTCTGGGCATAGCCATTGCCACTGTGTGGAGAGAGGAGGTCTGGGGTCACCCTCCCAAAGCAATGCTCCTCCTCTCCCCCTAGAGCAGCTGGGATGGGAACTGCTGTGGGCTGCAGGAGAGAGGGTTTAAATGGGACAGGCCTGCTCTGGGAATGTAAGCCAGGCTCTCCTGGGGGTGATGCCTYTGACAGTCCCAACACAGTGCTGGAACAAATCCCTGCTGTCCCCAAACCCAGTGACACGCGTGCAGCACCTGGAGAAGCCGATCAGCACGTTGGCTGCAGCCAGCTTGGTGTAGTCCCAGCGCATCCCACCGTCCTGGTAGAGCAGCAGGGCAAAGGAATGGTTCCCATCGGTGGTGAGGACTGCCTGGTAGGTGTTTGTCTRGAGAAATCCAAGGCACCCCCTTAGCACCCCCAAAGCCTCCCCTGCTCTCCCTGCAGTGCAGACTGAGGTCGTGATACTTGAAACAGCCACCAACAGTYCCCTCTGTCCCCTGGGTCCTCCCCTGCCCACCTGGGTGTCATCCCTTCGGGATGGGTATGCTGGAGCCTTCTCCCACGTCACCTTCAAGGTCCACTTAGCTACATAGGGGATTTTCAGGTATTTCTCAATCTTTGCTTCTACATCCTGGACAACAAAGTCTTGGGTRGAGCTGAGTGTGGAGTACTCCTACAGGATGGCAAGAGAGAGAGTTCAATGAGTGAGCTGGGAACTGGGCTCTGCCAGGAGAATATCTGTGGTGGCCCTTACCTGGTACCAGGTGGTGCCAACACCCTTGGAGAAATCTGCATCATCCCAAAAGGCAGCCACCATTGGCAAGCTCTCCCGGCCAGTGAAGCCCCGGGGAGGGGGGTTGGGGTTGGACGGGATGTAGTTGTCCGTGGGTGGAAAAATTATCTGTCCGTTATCTGTAAACTAACAAAAAAAAAAATTATTTGCTGACTGGGATAGCTTTTAGACTCCATGGGTGAGCAGAAACCAGCATTTAAATTTTTTTTTTAAAAAATTCAGATGAAATTTTGTTTCTGCTCCATTTCCATGTTTTTGCTTTTTTTTTACCAAAAAGGTGGCACATCCATTATGTGCTCACCAAGGGGGGCAACTCACGTAGAGAGCGTCTCGCAGAGACTTCCCAAAGGGAAATCCAATCTCTGGCTTGAACAGGGGTGAGTTAAAATCCACCATCCTCTGCACATACTCTTGGTCCCCTCCTTCCACGCCAAAGGGGTAGAGTGAAGCTGCTGGCTCTGACATGGGCAGGAAATCAATTGAAAAAGTGTAAAACAATTAATGCCTGTTTTATCCATCCTGCAGCCAGAACAAACTCACCTGTTTGCTGCCAGGATGCTGTGCCTGTGCTCTGATGGATTGCAACACAATTTTAAACCCACTAAAAATGTCCCATTTTACCTTTTTCCATGAATCTGGAAGCCCAATGTGCAATGTAGATGAGATATCCTGGACCAGACYGTACCCTCATCCATCACAACACTTGACTGGCTGAAAACCCCTTTCCTACCCTTGACTTCGGGAAAAAGAAAATCTACTTACTGATAAGCTCATGGGTGGGTTGGGGCTCAGGGGCAGGATTTCTGTGGCCAGTGGTGGTGTGGGTAGATGTGCTCAGTTTGGTGGATGGTCCTCTCTGCGTCCCAAAGGCAGGAAGCAGGGTGGTAGTAGGGTTGGTGGTCGCTGGTCGTATCTCAGGTACTGTGGTGCCTGGGGTTGAGACACTTTCTGTCTGCTTGGCTGGGCTCACTGGGGCTGTGGATGCAGTAGCCATGGTGTTCCCTGCAGTGGTGGCCGTGGTGCTCCCTACAGTGCTGGCCATGGTGCTCCCTGCAGTAATGGCCATGGTGTTCCGTGCAGTGGTGGCCATGGGATTGGCCATGGTGTTCCCTGCAGTGATGGCCGTGGTGGTCCCAGCAGTGGTGGTCGTGGTGTTCCCTGCAGTGGTGGCCGTGGTGCTCCCTGCAGCAGTGTTTGCAGTGCTCCCTGCAGTGGTGGCCATGGTGTTGGCCATGGTGTTCCCTGCAGTGGTGGCTGCAGTGCTCCCTGCAGTGGTGGCTGTTTTCTCCCCCCAGGCAGGTGTCCCTGGAGATGTCTGGAAGGCAGGAGTTGATGTGCTCCCTGCTTGTCCCATGTCATGGTAGCTGATGGATGCAGAAGTAGTGCCTGTGGCAGATGGCATGGCTGTGGTGGCCCTGGTCACCACAAAGGCCTCCCAGCCTGTTGAGGTGGTTGGCAGGACAGTGTTGCTGGGGGATGGTGTGGTGGTRGCTGGCATGGTGACCAGGGTGGTGCCACTGGTGTTGGAGTCAGGGACACGGGTGCTGCTGGTGCTGGCTGAGGGCGCTGTACCCYCGGTGCYSCTCTCAGGGAGGGTGGTGTCCCCAYGGGCARTGGTACCTGTGGCACCTGGCCAGGATGCAGCTGTAGTCTCCCATGTATTTGTGTGGCCAGCAGCCAGTGAGGTGAYCCCAGCTGTGGGGCTGTCCTCGGTGGCAGGTGGCTCTGGTGACGGTCTGGCAGTGACAATCACGTGGATGGGAGTTGGCCCTGCTGCGCTGGCACCTGGATTCTCCTGTGTGCTCACCTCCAGGAGCCCCATCCCCATCGCTCGCCCCATGGTGCTGCCATCAGGCTGGGGGTCACCTGAAGCCTCCATTGCTTGCAGTGGTGCAGTCAGGGACAGCGAGGACACGACTGCTGTCATATCTTGGGGGATGCTGGATGGGGGCACCTCCAGAGCCATCCCAACATTGTCTCTGCCTTCCAGGARAGCAGGGTCGTCTTCTTGTGATGCCATGGGGGCAGTGACTGCTCTGGGTCCCCCAGAGGTGTCTGGTACAGCTGTGCTGGTGCCTGGCGCAGCCCTGGGTGACCACATCTCTGTCCCTGGAGCTTCCACACGTTGGGGCTCAGCCCAGAGCACCGGGGTTGTGACATCAGTTCCTGGGGTGGTTGARCCTGCTGTGGGACCTGGCTGGCTGTGGCTCACATCAGGTACTGGCAGGGTGGCTTCGGTATCCTCCAGCATTGTGGTGGCACTGCCAGTGGCCAGTGATGCTGATCCCATTCCTGCTTCACTAACTGGAGTGCTGCTAACCAGGGAGAGCGGATGGGCAGCTGGCAGAGTCCCAATGCCATATGCAGTGATGGAAGAGGGTGGTGCAGCAGCAGCAGCTCGAGGGACCCTGTCTGGCTTTGCTCCACTGCTGCCTGTGAGGGACAAGGGCACGGCCATGCTGGGACTGGCTCCAGGAGATCTGCCTGCAGCTGCATCTGCTGTGGTGGTCCCAACGCCTGCTGAGGGAGACTGAGGGAGCAGAGAGTCCATGGAGCACAGAAAGGGCCTTGAAGAGGGACCATCAGGGTCATTGAGTGCTGCAGGGGGGGACAGATTCATGCTGAGCCCCTCTGGAGTGGCCTTGGTCTCCAGGATCACAGTGCCTGCTGTGGCTTTGGTACTGGCCTCATTCCTGCTGGACACCAGCTCAGCACTGGTGCTTCCCAGAGGTGGGATGTGCTCTCCAGCTGTAACATCCGTCACCATATCCAGTGTGCCTAGAGCCTGTGTGGTAGCCTGGGGCTGGGTGACAGCATTGGCACCAGGCAGTTCGTGTCCAGCAGTGCTGGGGCCTGCACTGAGGCTGGGGGGAAGCATCTCATCATCAGGAAGCAGGGGCAAAAGGGTTGGAGGCAGCTGAGTGGAAGGCACAGGAGGATCCTGGGAGGCACTGTGGCCTGTGCTGGATAAGGTACGTGTCCCTGGCTCTGTAGCCTTGCCAGTGCCAACAGTGGCAGAAGGAAAGGTGACCTTTGCCAAGGATGGGCTCYGGGRGTCTGCAGACAGYGAGGTTTCCATGCTGGSTCCTTCTGTGGCTGTGTTAGYTGGAATCCCAGGGAGGCCAGSAGCAGGGCTGGCTGAAGCTGCTGCCATCTTCATGGGGCTGGCTCTGTCCTGAGAGATGCTGGCAGCTGTGGCCAAAGGTGAGGTGGCCTTGTYCAGCTGTGGTATGACTTCCTGGGACAGGAGTGTGGGATTGGCATGTGGAGCAGAGCTCCTGCTGATGCTGGGGGTTGATGTTCCTGTGCTGTGCTCATCCCAGGGGAGCAATGGCTCTGTGGTCCATGCTGCTGCTGGCACCTCCTCCGCAGAGGCAGCACCCATGGCAAGACTCACCGCGTGCCCCAGTGGCTTGGAGGATGGAAGCTGCATGTGCCAAGYGGTGGTGGGAGCTGGAGGGACGTTGGCTGGGTGGCTGGCAGCACCTAGAAAGGATACTCCAGCCCCTGGCCCTGCCTGGGGGCTGCCTTGCATTGCTGGATGCCCAGGGAGAGCTCCAAGGTTGGGCTGCCCCTCCTGCTCACCGCCACTTCCAGCTGGGACCAGCCCTCTCGTTGTTGCCTGTGGCACCAGGATGCCTGTGGAGCGAGACAAGGCAGCTCCAGCTGGATCAACCCCACCGCGGCCCCAGCAGGCAGGAACCCGCCCGCGGCCAGCTGCCTGCCGGCCTTACCTGCGCYCCGGCTGCCCGCGGAGGCGGTGGTCGGGCCGGCGGCCGTGGGRAGCCCCTGGCACACGCCCGGGTCTGCGGGCAGCTCGGCGCTGGTGCTGCCGGCCACACGGGAGATGCTGCCCGACTCTGATGGGTCCAGCGTGGGGACAGGGGGCTGCTCCTTCATCYCCCCGGCTTGTGCAGAAGGTGGGTGAAGGCAGGATGAGGAAAAAGCCAGCCCGGGGTCCCCATCACCCCCATCCCACCTCTGCTCTGCGGGAGGACCAACACCAAGAGCAGGACAGGCACCTTTTCCCAGGGTAAGTCTCCCCATTTGTTCCACAATTCCCCCCACCTTCCCCTGCTGCAGCTGGGGACCGTGACAAAGCTTTGGCACCCGCGGACAGAGACCCGGCAAACCCCAGCCGGGCACTCGGGCTCGACCCGGAGGGTTGCTCGCAGCCCATCACCCAGAGGTTATTTGTCACCTGGTCAGCCCGGTGGCAGTGCGAGCGACTCTGACACTTACCTGGCAGCAGGCAGAGCCCCCACAGCACCCAGCTCCAGAGCAGCCACGGACCCCGGCACCCCATGGTGCTTYTTCGGTGTCAGGGAGGAAGGCGACAGGGCTGCAGCTCTCGCYGTCTCAAGGGAGAGACGCGACGGGTGGCTCCACAGGTGAGCACTCCCCCAGGTGGGGGGGACAGGGACACCACGTGCCCTGCCTGGGGCACTGACGTCTCTGTGTCCTCACAGCCTGGACGCAGTCTGAGGTGGCAGCGTCCCAATGATGGGGACCCACTGATGCTGGGGGACACCAATTTTGTCATGGGAAGATTTAAGGCCCTTCCCAGCCCGACCCCATTGTTGACAGCCCAAGGCAGGGGTCCACAACCCCTGTGGAGCACATAGTGGGTTTCAAAGTCACTTAGCCTAARGGCACTGGGATGGCAGGAGGTGACAGGGGTCCCAACATCTCTGGGAGGGGTCAATCCTGGGCTCTGCACCCCCATCCACTCTCCTGTTTGCTGTCAGGTCCCTCCACACTTGGCTGCATGGCCGATAACCCCTGGCGGGGGTTGGCTCGTCACCAAGAAGGAAGAAGGAAGGAGCAGGCTCCYGCTGCTGCCCTGGGGTCCCACGTAYTGACCCTGCCCCGTCCCCCCCTTGGGCACTGCCGGTCCCAGGCGTTATCTGTCCATCGCGGCAAACGCCCACACAAAGCCAGATGGAGCGGGGGGGCTGTTCCCGCATGGGTGGCGGGGCCGGGCATTGCCCTGGSTGGCAGGTCACCTTCCACCAGCCACACAGGCTGATGGACCCAGCTGTGTGAACAGAGGCCACTGCAGCAAACGTGTTTGCTTCTGCACAGGGGCTCACCCAGCTCCAGGATCACGGARGGAGGCGCAAGTGAAGTCAGGGACGGTGTTGTGCCTTCCTCGCTTCACTGACAGCCCTGCCATGGTGGCTGCACCTCACACGGCATGGAGGCCCAAGCAGCGATGTGTGACCGTGCTCACAGCACCAGCTCCTCGTCCCCACACTCGGGAGGGCCAGAGGATCAGAGCTGAGCGAGCTGTGGGTGCACAGGGCACACAGGGGCTGGGGCCAGCTACCTTCTGCCAGAGAGGATCCATGRTCACAGCGAGGCAGCCCTTCCTCACTGTGCAGCAGGGCCTCTCCGAAGCCACCAGCGGAGCAGAGTATCCTGGAGAGCAGGCACCACCACTGCCAATGGACCCGGTGGGTTTGGGCACCAAGATCCTCCTCCATCTGACCCAAGATCCCTCCCTGATGCTGCTGGAAAGGATCACCTCAGCAAACAGAGCTAAGGGGCTCTGACAGCTGCTCAGAGTGGGGAGCGAGCGCTGACACCAGATCTGGGACCCCACRGGCGCCACCCCTGCGCTCCAGCACCTGCTCCCAGCTCTGTCTGTGGCGGTGGCACCCGCTTGCACAACACCCCTCGCGTGGGTGGGGGCGACGCTGGTCCTGCCACTCCCTGCCCGGGCATGAGTCAGGCACAGCCGGGAGCCGCGGGGCACCGGGCAAGGGGGGCCCTGCTGCGGGGGCACCCCTGCAGGCAAGCACTGCCCACTCAGAGCATGGAAAAAACATGCCCAGCCTTCAAGCGGCAGGCCTGGGAGTGGGATATCCAGCAGCCCCGAATGGGGAGAACTTTGCACCCTAAAACAKCCTGGGAGAATTTGGCAGGAGGTTTTATAGGTGAACATGTCACAGAGYTCCCTGGGGATTCCCAGAGTCCCTGCAACCTCTCCTGAGTTTCATCCCATGGTGCATCCCAAAGGTCACAGTCCCAGATGCCTGCAGGGAGGAACCAGCACCCATGGCCACATGGCCTGGCCCTGTCTGTCGGCAGGGATAAACCTGGGAAACGGCCACATGCACCCTCCTCCTCTCCATAGAATATTTTTATATATATACATAATATATATATTAAAATTACATTTCTCTTTACAAAAACAATTCAACAAGAGGACAGGGAACAGAGCCCATTGCCAAAAACAGGGCACAAGCRCCCTAAAAAGTCTGTGGTGCTGGGCAGGGCCCCTTTTGGGGTGTCTCCACCCTCCAAGTGGGGGCTCAGTCCAGAGTCCAGCAGGTTGCGTGGGTGAAGRCTGGGGCACCAGCCCCATGTTGGGACGCCTGCTCCGGATCCGACACAGCTCGCCCCATTCCCACTGTCACCATCTGTAAAGAGAGGACAGGACATGAGCTCAGGAGGGGTGATAGTGCCAGTCTACCCGGAGCAGTGTGGCAGGGAGAACTCCCCTGCCAAAAAACATCCATGTCCTTACTTCTGGCGGGTGGCACTGCAGGGGTCGAGGAGGTGGGAGCTGGCCTGTGCCAGGTCCCAGTCGAACATCTCCAGCACTCGCTGGCACTCGTTGCGGGTCTTCAGCCCCAGGCAGAAGAGCTGCTCGACCTGCAAGGGGACAGGGCAYGGCCAGAGGGGTGACAGGAGTGCCACCACTCTCACTGGAGCCAGGACGAGGGAACAGGGGTGTGCTGTACCTTCAGGTACTGGCTGGCCCGTATGACATTCCAGCCGTGGCTCTGCAGCGCTGCCTGGCACTCATCGGTGGTCACGCCATGCACCATCTCCTGGACCTGTGGGGGAGCTTGTGGTCAGTGTCTGCTGCCACCTCTGGCCGGCAGGGAGCCTGTGATTGAGGCAGGGGACCACTGGGGCTGCCCCAAACCCTGTCCCCAGGGAGCACTGTGAGGCTGGAGCTGGGATCATTCTCATCCCTGGGATCCTAGGTCTCTCCTGTGCKTGCATGGGCCACAATAGCCCCAGCCCGTGAGACCAACAGCCACCTCCCCCCTMCCCAGGGTCTTCACTTGCCATTTAGGCATTGCAGTGACATTTATGTCCCCCTGCACATCTGGAGCCCCCTTGTAGCCAATCCCCTGGGGTTGAACTTGTGGAAACTGAGGCACAAAGTGGGGAAAGCTCTTGCCCAAGTGAACCCACTCCTCACGGATGCTGGGGGTGACACACACCAGCCGGATCTTGTCAGCAGGACGACAAACATCTGGCCCGTCATAAACGATCTTCTGGAGGCTGCAGGAGGCCTTCACCAGGCACTTGGGCCCGGGGTTGCTGTTGTTGGAGGAAAAGTTGGCCTTGCAGTCTGCCAGTGGCTGCTGCACCATGGGACGGACGGTGGCTGTGGTGACCTGGCGGGAYGCTGGCATCTCCTCGGGACTTTTAGCCTCCTTGAAAAACTTCTCATACTTGTCCAGGTAGGCAGGGCGCTCGGGCAGCAGGTAGTAGTGGGTGCTGCTGACCTTTTGCCCATCCTTCACGATGGGCAGGATGCAGGGTCCTTTGGAGCAGTCCTTGCCCTGTGCCTGGATCACCTTGGGGGTGGCGTACTTGGGATCGAGGGCAAAGCTCTGTGTGGTGGGCATGGGCTTCCCTGGTGAGGTGGAGAGGCAAGGGCAGAGGGCGGCACGTTGCTGGGGGGAGCCCACCTGCAGAGCCATGGGGCTGGGTGTCCGAGAGGTGGGCTGCGACAGCGGGTCCCGCGGGGGGATCTGGGGYGGCCGGTCCTCCTCGCCCCCCGAAGCTGGGGAAAGGTCCCCTGACCAGCGCCCAGGCTCATTGCGGCGAAGGGGCCGGGGTGGGATCGGGACACGGGGCGGGATTTGGGGCTTGTCATCAGCTGGGGCAGCCGGTCCCAGAGGGACGTTGAGCCTCTTCATACACTCCTGCTGCAGCTCCTCAAAGAGCTCGGTGGTCTGCGTCATGCTGGGCTGTTTAGTTTCCTTGGGGGGTAGAAAGAGGTTGTCCTCCACTGTTGGTCCCCGCTCACTCTCGTCCACAAAGCCATAGTTGGTCTTGCCCCGCCGGCTCGGGGGGCTGGTGATAGAGCAGACCTCAATGTCATCCTCATCCTGTGCCACGTCATCATAGGCAGGYGGTGGAGGCAAGGGCCGGGCATCCCAGTCCACCACTGGCGTGGGGTGGAGAGGCCGAGGTAGAGCCCGCGTGGGGCTCTGCGGTGGGGTCTTGTCCAGCAAAGAGCAGGCCTCCATGGCCAGCTTGGCTAACGACGGGGCTGTCAGCTCTCCCACTGGAGAGGGGCTACCCTGGGGCACTTCCTCCCCGAAGTCAATGAGGGTCACCTCGCTGCTTGCCGGCCCCTCGCTTGCCAGCCGTCCGGGTTGCCGCTCGCCCACCTTGGTGCCCGGTACTCGTGCTGATGGCTTGRCCGGTCGCAGACCCTTCCCTGTGCCTGGCTTCTTCAGACAGAGCTTCCGGAGGCCTCCTGGMAGACCCTCCTCCTCCTCACTGACTGGGTCGTAGCAAGGCTCTAAAGGGGCACAGAGAAGGACAGTGAGGGTCACAGCATCCATCCCTGCAGGGCAAGAAGAGGCATCTACATCTCCAAGCCCCCAAACCACCCCGTACTTTCAGCCCTCTTTGCTCCCAGGCACACCAGGGCGCCTGCCCTGGGCCATCCAGGTAAG